ATGGCCAACCTGCTGCCCACCAGCACTCCCATGTCCTTCTCTGCAGAACTCCCTTCCAGCAGGTCACCCCCAACCTGTGCTGGTCCCCGGGGTTACTCCTCCCCAGGTGAAGGACCATTTCTAGTGCAAACTGTCACACTGGAGGCATCAAAGGGAGGGTTGTTAGCAAAGGTAGGACAAGGGGGTCAGTCTGCATCCACATGAGTCAGAGATCCTCCAACCCTCAACTCCTCCAGGCTCTGATTGTTCACACACACATGGCAGGGAGGACTCCACTGAAAGGATTGGACTTTGGGATTGGATTGGATTGGATTGGATTGGATAGACAATCAGAGCAGCTGCCCACCTCAGCCACGCTTTTCTAGTGTGACATCTCCATCTAGAGATGTTTCTGCCACACATCCAAGCTCCCGTGCAACACCCAAGCCTGGGCTTTCCAGACCAAGCTCAGCTCAGCCTTTTAAACCCAGGTAGCAAAGGTGGATGATGGAAAGCAAACACTGGGCATTGTAAACTGCTGCTGACCACCTTGTTTTCTCTCCCCTGGACAGACCATCCTGGACCACATGCACCTGAAATGCAAGTGCCATGGTCTCTCGGGAAGCTGTGAGGTCAAGACCTGCTGGTGGGCCCAGCCTGATTTCCGGGCAATCGGTGACTACCTGAAGGATAAATACGACAGCGCCTCTGAGATGGTGGTTGAAAAGCACCGGGAATCTCGGGGATGGGTAGAAACTCTTAGGGCCAAGTACGCGCTTTTCAAGCCGCCAACAGAGCGGGATCTGGTTTATTACGAGAACTCTCCCAATTTTTGTGAGCCCAACCCAGAGACGGGCTCCTTTGGGACGAGGGACAGAACATGCAACGTCACCTCCCACGGGATCGATGGCTGCGACCTGCTGTGCTGCGGTCGTGGCCACAACACCAGGACTGAGAAACGGAAGGAGAAGTGTCACTGCATCTTCCACTGGTGCTGCTACGTGAGCTGCCAGGAGTGCATACGCGTCTACGATGTCCACACCTGCAAGTAAACGTAGGTAGGTCTCCAACTGATGGGAGGTTGCTCCAGAGCAGGGCCAAAGGGTCCACCCTGTGATCAGCCCCCACATGGTGGCCTCACACTTCAGAGGATGGCACAATAAAAAATCCTAATGCCCTTGGTCAGGGCAGGTACCCTCACCCAGCCAGCACCAGCACTGCGGAGAAGGCTCACGGCATCTCAACCACACAGGGTGGTCCAAGGCTCAACCTGACGTGTTGGATCACTGATCTGCTGACTTTTCTTGGGGTGTCTGGCATGACAGACTGAGGAGAAGCAGGGACAGCACAGGTCCAAGCAAGGTATGGCCACACCAGTCAGTGTGCTGCTAACACAGCATGCAGAGAGCTTCCAGCTCTGTCCTCCTCTGGAGGTCTGGCCCACGCAGATGCCAATATGGGGTTTCAGGTGGAAATTAATTCACCCAGCAAAAGCTGAGCAAAACCAGATTCCCCTGCCTGCTGGCATGGCCACGCTGGTCTCAGCAGATGTGGTGATGAGAAGGAAAGGAGTCACCTCCCCCACACCAGCCAGGCTCCTTCCTTCCTGCTCCAAGGGGATGATGTTGGAGAAACAAACCTGTTTGAGCAAAGGAACAGAGCTGTACAGCCAGTGTCTCCTTCCACCTCCCCTCAGCCCTCCCTGCTCCCTACAGCCCCACATCATCTCCTAGAATCCCCCTGAGGAGGATGGCAAGAAACCAGAGCCCAGAGCTGATCCGCGGGCATTTGGTCCAGGATAAGAGCAGATCACACGTGGTGAGGTTGCCACCTCTTGCACGGGGATGCATCACCACTCCAGCAGCCCCCTTGTTGTGCAGCTGCCCAAGAGAGATTTTTAAGGATCTGGGCAGGTCCACCCAGTTGATGCACCTACTTACTGAGTGTTCTCTAATATGACTCCATCCCAGAGCGAGCTCAGAGCATCTCTCTGGGGTCAGGGCACCTGCCAGGAGAGCTGCTGCACCAGCTCTGGGCGTCAGTAATGGATGGGGAGACAGAAGCCATGGCAAGAAATTCCTGTCTGAGCCTTCTCATCAGCCTTCCCCCATCAGACTGACTTGATCAAACCACTTTATCCAGCAAAAGAGAGGCAAAGGCAGACGGGGAAGGGAGACCTTCATCCAACAGCACAACCCCAGGCAGCCCCTTTCCTTCCCATAGGATTTCCTGAGTTATCAGCAGTTCCTGCATTCAGGGCTCCACATGACACAGAGGCTCCGTACCGTGAGCTGGGATTTAGGTCCCAGGTGTGGCCACACACATCCCACAACCCATCTCCATGCAGAAGAACCAGCATTTGTCCCTCCACCTGCTCCCCAGGTCACATCCCCCCACTTGACCACACGCCTCCTCATTTTGGGCTTGTTTTCATGGAGCATTGACCCTTAAAATTAAATATTTCTGTCTTGGTGGGCTCCTCCACAGATGGTGAGGACCAATAACCACGTTCCAATACCACTCCTCATGCGTCAGTGGTTTAACACAGAAATGTATCTAAAGCATGAAAGCTGTGTCTTCTACTCCCCCCACTTCTTTGTCCCTGGGAAAGAGCAGCACACGGCACTGCAAAGAGCAATAAAATGGGTGAAGGACCCTTCATCTGGAGCACAGAACGTGGCTCTGTCACTCAAACCTGGGGCTGGAGAGAATCGGAGCAAAATTCTGGGTCCCTCCTCTGCAGAGCAGGATGAAGAGCTCCCGGATTCACGCAGCATCAGCTTTCCAAAATGAAAAATCACAGGAGAGCTCTAAGAAACCTCCCGGATTCAGAAACGAGCCGTCTTCTGATTATGCATCCTATTTAAAAGTATATATTAAACTCTGTGTCTGGAAGAGTCCAAGTACCTGACTTTAAACAAAATCCCCTTTTTGTTTGTTTGTTTGTTTGTTTCTTTAATCAAGAAAAGGTATTTAATATTCAATAGAACATTTATTGCCTTGTCATTATTTTACTGTAGCCAGGTATTCTAGCACTGAATGGAAGATCTTTTTCCATCAATCTGCTGTATCCAAAGTTTTGTATAAAGTTGTAGAGGTCGATTTTTTTTTTTTTTATTTTATATTCAGAAAATTTCTCTTTTTATAAGCATTATTTATTATACAATGTATATACTTGAGTTAACTAAGATTATATATTATATAAATATATATATTTGGAGAAAAATATATTTCAACTTGCATTTTTTTTTTGTGGTACGTCATTAAAGAGAAGGTTAAAAAAACCAAAAATATGCACTTGCCAGCTTGTGTGGTTTGCCTCTGAAGGTCCTAGAATCACAGGATGGTTTGGGTTGGAAGGGACCTTAAAGCTCATCCAGTCCCAACCCCCCTGCCAGCAGCAGGGACACCTTCCACTAGACCAGGTTGCTCAAAGCCTCATCCAACCTGGCCGAGAACACTTCCAGGGAGGAGCAGCCACAGCTTCTCTGGCCAACCTGGGACACTGTCTCACCACCCTCACACCAAACAATTTCTTCCTCACATCTCAGCTCCATCTCCCCTCTGCCACTTTCAAGCCATCACCCCTTGTTCTCTCACTCCCTGCCCTTGGCCAAAGTCCCTCCCCAGCTTCCTGGAGCCCCTTCAGGTACTGGGAGGCCACTAGAAGGTCTCCCCGGAGCCTTCTCTTCTCCAGGCTGAACAGCCCCAACTCTCTCAGCCTGTCCTCACAGCAGAGCTGCTCCAGCCCTCGCATCATCCTCGTGGCCTCCTCTGGACTCGTTCTAACAGGTCCATGTCCTTCTGTCAGGAGCTCCAGAACTGTCTGCAGTCCTTTAAGTCCTGATGAATGACATGGATGGGAGTGGTGGGTCATTATCCAGCTACTTATACCCAGTGACAGTCACACGGATGCAAGATGATGATGGTCAAACGTAGCAAATACAGGAGATTTTACAGCTGAACGCCAAGATTTTTATTTCCAGTGTGCCATCTCACAACATGAGATTACTGGATCAAAACAGACTTTAGACTTCACGTTCTCCCCCCACTAATGTACTTGTAGGCTGACACTGAATCGCCTTTGATGGTTTGGACAGACCGAGATCCAAATTTTCTCACATAAAAACATCCCCTCCTATCCAGGAATAATTCTGTGGGCATTTCTCCAACATCTCCCATACATTAATGTGCACGCAATTTTAAGTGCACACCATTTTCCACAGCACTGGCCTCAAATACTGAAGGGTAAAAAAAATTAAAAGTTAAAAAATAAAAATCAGTGTTTTCCTACAAAAAATAAAATTATCCTGTTTTCCTACACTCATCCCCAATTTATACACTAAATAATTACATCCACCTTCTTGCAGAGCGCTGCCTGAAACACCGTGCTGCTCGCATGTCAGTGATTCCCAGCTCCATTCCACTGCACCATGTTGGGGGCAGCACGTTTCTGCTGGTGCCATCTCCTACTGGGTGGCAGCAGCGATGCCTTCAAGGTTACACGAACATCCATGACATGTTGCCAACAGTCCAGACAACTGAGGTGTCTGCCCTCGTGGAGTGTTTTGAGCTGAACAGCATTAGGAGTGGAAGTTATCTCTTCACCTGCCCATCATCCCAGGTCCTTCTCCACCACACTCCACCTCCCCAAACCCCACTCCGACATTTCCAAACATATTGGTCTTTGGTTAACAACTCAACTTGTGAGACAGATCCATATCTAGAAGGTTCAGGAAAAGCAGGAACAGGGTAAGGAAGGGGATGAAGAACTGTTAAAGCAATACAGTTCTCACTGTGAAGGCACTCTTGGCCAGGCAGTGTGTCACACAGGAAATGTGGTGGGAAGGGGGTGGCCAGGAGTCATTCTCTTGTGCCACCTGCAGGAAACATCTTGGATGGAGATCTCAGGATAGGTTGGAGTGGGTGGGATGTCATACCCAACAGTTTGTTCTGGTTTTCCAACATGTCCTTCTTCAAGTGTGACACACCCAGCTCACACACAGACATACATCTTTGGGGCTCCATCGACACTGCAAGGTTCAGAAAACTCTAGAAAGAGCTGGACCAGAGGTCTTCTCAACCAACTCCCTTAAGACCGCCTGTGGTCAAGCTACCCAGGCTGGGGATGTATTCAATCCATCCCTGCTTAGGTATAAACTGAGCATCCCCCTGGCAATCAGCAGCCTGGAAAAAGCTTTGTTACCTTCACGCCATCCATCAGCACTCTACACATGCAGCTCCATTTGACTAACACCACAGACACAGATGTCTCCCAGATCACCACAAGGAGTTGTGCTTTTTATTGAATCCACTGAATGTGCAATTAAACCAGATATTTATTCATCAATATAGTTCTGGACAAAGACACAATAAGGTTTACATCATTTACTCTGAAATATAAGTTAACGTGTGCTGCCGTCGCTCGGACTGGCAGGGGAAAGAAAGGAACAAATAAATTCACAAGATTGTCCACAAAATGAGAGGGAATAATAAGCACTGGGATTCGCAATGTCATCACGATACAACAGCACTGCCAAAGGAAAAGAAACCAGAGTGGAGTGACTAAAATACTCTGACCGCTGTAAGTACGCGCCT